CAGAACACAGTCAGACAGGTAAGTTATGTATATTTGTGTATGTCATATATTCAACATTCATGGTTACACTTCCAGGTGCTGTATAATTATATGTGTCGCTTGGTTAACTAAACTAAGATGTGCAGCTAGAACCTATATACTGAAAGAAAACAAATATTTTCTTGGGTTTGTTTCTATAGGGGTCATTATGACGGTGCCAAAGACCCTTGATCGTTGATTCAGATGCCGTATTAGTATTGGGTTATAGATCTTTCGCATATTCCTCTAAAGCACAGAGAGTTTGGTATAATTATGTTTGCAGGTTTATCGCCCCAAACCCGTGCACGTGGCTATAATCAAAGTGGTAAATATGTGATAGCTGCATCACTTTCAGTGTTTATCCCACACAAAGCTTGTCACCCTAATGGTACATGTTCTTGGTACCTCCAATGTTACCACCATGTCCCTGTTGTTGTGATGCCCATGTTCTTGGTACCTCAAATGTCACGACCATGATCTAGTTGCTGTGATGTCCATGTTCTTGGTCCTCAGATGTTACCACAATGTGCTTGTGTCTGTGGTGTCCATGTTCTTGGTACCTCAAATGTTACGACCATGATCTAGTTGCTGTGATGTCCATGTTCTTGGTACCTCAATTGTTACAACCATGTGCTTATGGCTGTGGTGTCCATGTTCCTCGTACCCCAAATGTTAGCACAATGTTACTGTAATGTCCATGTTTCTACAAAGTCCACGTTACTGCCATGGGAATAATTCTACAAAGTAAATGTTTCTGCAATGCCCATGTTACTGTTTCAGAACGATGTGTCAGCTACTATACCTCCTTCTGCTTGTCATCACCTTCAGCCATTTCACAGGTATACTTCCTGATCCTTGCAGGTCAATATTCGTTTTTCAATTGAAACGTTGAACTCACTTGTTATATACAACTTAGCATACATAAAAAGTGTTATGTACCATGTCGGAGACACTCTTCTCTAGACTATATCTGCACACGCTCCTCCTATTTCTTCGTCTTTATAAACTGAATGGAACTATACATAGGACACACAACAGTCATTTTCATTAGGTATAACACAAAAAATTCAAACAATCGATAAATTTTCTCCTTCCAGATGGTATAAAACTCTGGAACTCAAGGAACCCCAAAGGCAACACAATGTGGCGCGGGAACTGGAACCTGGACAGAACCACGTATAGGGGTCAGGAGTCGGTGTCTGCTGAGCCCAACCCCGACGGGAGTAACAATAAAGTCAACGCCATCTTCCTCTCCCAGGGATCCTACGGCCTCACCGATATCTTCAGTGGAGCTGAGTTCTACTCCGCTCCTTTAGAGCCCAGGGAGTGTTTGACCCTAGTCTACAAGGTGCGGTTCGAAGACAACTTCGACTTCGCCTACGGTGGAAAGTTGCCGGGTCTGTACGGGGGCGGGGTCAACTGTACGGCTGGAGGAGACCCAGGCAAGGACTGTTTCACATCCCGCTTTATCTGGAGAACAGGTGGAGTAGGTGGAGCGGCACTCTTCACCACAGCTCAACAAACACCGGGGTTCTGTGCCACTGAAGGAGTGGAGTGTAACGACGCTTGGGGACACCGACTTGGCAGCGGAAGTTTCCAGTTCCAGACCGGAACCTGGTACACAATCCAACAAACCGTTCGCCTGAACACCCCCGGGCAGGCTGACGGCTACGTTCGGATTGCTGTTGGGGGCGTTGGTAAAGTGTACGACGTCAGTAACGTGGTAATCAGAGAATCCCCGGATGTGAAAGTCGATGGCATTCTGTTTTCTAATTATTTCGGCGGGACATCGTCATGTTCCGGAAGTCCCGTTGATACCCATGCCTACTTCCGGTACTTTGTCCTCAAGGACAACTTCTGCTAGAAATACCAAAATAGGCATCCATTTACCACAGTTTTCGTGTTCAAGATACTCAGGGAATGCCCTCACTGGATTAGGATATTTACTGCAAGCATTATATATTATCCGTTCATTCATCTATCGACAGATTTTGTCCAACGGGTCCTGAAATAAACTTGACTTCACCACTTTTTTACTATGTTGTTGATATACTACTGGCCAGCTTGCCTATTTGAAAACTAAGCTAAAAGAGGATGTATTCCATTGTGTAATATGATTACGAAGCGAAGTCTAACATTTCATCCACATCCATAATTAAACACGCATAGCGATGTTCATAATGTACAGCTGAGTAGAATGTATAGCGAAGCAAAATGTACAACTGGACACAACATATAAATAAGCATGTGCCACTCGGCTAAATGTACAACTAGGCATCATGTACAACTATCAAAAATAGGCTTCATGAGCAGCTTGACATAATGTAGAACTAGGCTTTACAAACATCTTGGCATACTATACAACTAGGCTTCATGTACAACAAGACATCGTGTACAACTAGGCTTCATGTACAACAAGTTATCGTGTACAACTAGGCTTCATGTACAACTAGATATAATGTACAACTAGGCATCATGTACACCTAGGTTTCATGGACAACTAGGCATGATGTGCTACTAGGCATCACGTACAAGTAGGCATCATAAAAAATATGCATAATGTACAACTAGGCTTTCCTCACATGGGTACAATGTGTGAAGCCCATTTCTTGTGTCCCCTGCCGTGATATTGCTGGTTATTGCTAAAAGAGGCGTATGACTATATTCACTCACTCATGTACAACTAGGCATCATGTACAACAACACATCACTTAAAAATAGGCTTCATGTACAACTAGGCATAATGTTCAACAAGGCATCACGAACAACTGGATATAATGTAGAACTAGGCATCATGTCGAATTTGCCTTCATGTACAACTAGGCATCATGTTTAACATAGATTTTGTCCAACAGGACGTGAAATACATTACCTTCGTCATCTTTGCTTGGTGTTGCTTGTTGCTGGGTAGATTGAAAACCTAGCTAAAAGTGTTGAGCTGCAGTGGGATTCCCATAATTAAAATTTAACTGGTTGGAAACAATTTCATCTTAAACACCCGATTATATTGCGAGTAAACCGTCCGCAAACATGTGGCGATCTGAAACCTATGATCCAACGATGTTGCAGAAAATAAATACATTCTCTTACAGTATGTATGACGTGAACATATACATTGTATACTCTCTTTTACAGTATGTATGACGTAAACATATACATTATATACATTCTCTTACCGTATGTATGACGTGAACATATACATTGTATACATTCTCTTACAGTATGCATGACGTAAATATATACACAAAATCAAAATGTTTTTAAAAGTGTACATATCTACATCCATAACACTAAACGATTTAAATAACTCTGTCTGTACATATCTATACCCTTTGTCTGCCTCTTGTTGTAATATACACTTGTAACGATGTGGAGAGGGCTTATTTAAGTTGGATAACTTGTGCCCAATCCGTTTCTTAATTGAATAAAATATGTTTCAATCAATATATACACTGTATACATTCTCTTACAGTATGTATGACGTAAACATATACATTGTATACATTCTCTTACCGTCTGTATGACGTGAACATATACATTGTATACATTCTCTTACAGTATGCATGACGTAAATATATACACTGTATACATTCTCTTACAGTATGTATGACGTGAACATATACATTGTATACATTCTCTTGCAGGGTTACTGGTTAGACTAACGCTTAGCCCCTGAATATATATAATTGTAATAGTAACAAGTTATCCCATTTATACTGAAAAGGTGCCACTGTGAAATGTGAGATTGAAACTGTGGAAATCTAAACATGTTTCATTAAGGGATATAGCATTGCAGTGACGGCAAGGCAGTCGTGAAATTAATGTGGTTCAGGGACTGAGAGTTAGACTAGGTTACTCGCGTCTTTTACAGTATGTATGACGTAAACATATACATTGTATACATTCTCTTACTGTATGTATGACGTGAACATATACATTGTATACATTCTCTTACCGTCTGTATGACGTGAACATATACATTGTATACATTCTCTTACAGTATGCATGACGTAAATATATACACTGTATACATTCTCTTACAGTATGTATGACAGAGAAAGGGACAGCCAGGTGTTAGAGAAGCACGTGCACAAGTGCCCACCAAGTTATTGATTCATTAGCCTGTGCCGTCTCCATTATTTCACACACACCTGGCTGTCCCTTTCTCTGCACTCCTCCCTCGTAACAAATAGTGAACTGTGTCAAAATTTTAATGATAGTTTCTTAAAGAACTTTCTTGGTGGAGTCCGGAAAATTTTCAAATATAAGAAAGCTGTTGGGTATTAGTAAATGATAAACATGTGTACTATTTATATTTATGTGGCAATTTTGTACAATGATAAAATTTGCAATTCATCGGACCGTTTCTGACTCAAACGGACTGTAGGTAGTGCGTACACTCTAGCACGAAACATCCTTGTTGGCATGATGCACGTTATTTGCTTAAAGTTTACGTCATCTTGGAGGTAATGTCAAGTGTCGTTACGACAATGAGCATTAGAAAATGAAGTCTAATGGGAAACAAATGCCTAGTTGTACATTACGCCTTGTTTACATGATGTCTACTTGTACATTATGCCTAGTTGTACGTGATGCCTAATTGTACATTATTCCTTGTTGTACCTGATGATAGGTTGTACATTATGCCTCGTTGCACATGATGCCTATTCATACGTTATGTCTAGTTGTACATTAAGCTTCGTTTTACATTCTGCCTGTTTGTTCATTATGAATATCGCTATTTGGGTTTAATTATGGATGTGTATGAAAATGTAAAACTTCGCTTCGTAATCATATTACACAATGGAAGACATCCTCGTTTAGTGTTGATGGTAAATAGGCAAGCAGTCCAGCAGAATATCAACAACATCAAACAAAGATGGCGAAGTCAAGTTTATTTCACAACAAAATCTGTGGTCGTTGGACAAAATCTGTGGTCGTTGGACAAAATCTGTGGTAAACGGATGCCTATTGTGATATTTCTAGCAGAAGTTGTCCTTGAGGACAAAGTACCGGAAGTAGGCATGGGTATCAACGGGACTTCCGGAACATGACGATGTCCCGCCGAAATAATTAGAAAACAGAATGCCATCGACTTTCACATCCGGGGATTCTCTGATTACCACGTTACTGACGTCGTACACTTTACCAACGCCCCCAACAGCAATCCGAACGTAGCCGTCAGCCTGCCCGGGGGTGTTCAGGCGAACGGTTTGTTGGATTGTGTACCAGGTTCCGGTCTGGAACTGGAAACTTCCGCTGCCAAGTCGGTGTCCCCTAAGCGTCGTTACACTCCACTCCTTCAGTGGCACAGAACCCCGGTGTTTGTTGAGCTGTGGTGAAGAGTGCCGCTCCACCCTCCACCTGTTCTCCAGATAAAGCGGGATGTGAAACAGTCCTTGCCTGGGTCTCCTCCAGCCGTACAGTTGACCCCGCCCCCGTACAGACCCGGCAACTTTCCACCGTAGGCGAAGTCGAAGTTGTCTTCGAACCACACCTTGTAGACTAGGGTCAAGCACTCCCTTGGCTCTAAAGGAGCGGAGTAGAACTCGGATCCACTGAAGAGATCGGTGAGGCCGTAGGATCCCTGGGAGAGGGAGATGGCACTAACTTTGTAGGTACTCCCGTCGGGGTTGGGCTCAGCAGACACCGACTCCTGACCCCTGTACGTGGTACTGTCCAGGTTCCAGTTCCCGCGCCATATTGTGTTGCTTCTTGGCGTTTTAGAGTTCCAGAGTTTTATACCAGCTGGAAGGAGAACAAATATCGGCTGCTTTTGATTCATTGTTTTTCATTAGTGTGTCGCATGCATAGTTCCATGTATTTTATGAAGACGAAGAACTAGAAGGAGTGTGTGTAGATATAAACAAGAATGTCTTCAACATGATGCAGTTAAATGCATTCATCTTCATTGATGTTAAGTGTTATATAGCAAGAGGTGATCATTGAGTTACACGTTTAAATTGTAAAATGAATATTGCCCTGCTGGGGTCCGAAAACATACCTGTGAAATGACTGAAGGTGATGGCAAGCAGAAGGAGGTATAACAGCTGAAACATCGTTCTGAAACAGTAACATGGTCATTGCAGAAACATTTACTTTGTAGAATTAAGGCCATCGCCGTAACTTGGTCTTAGTAAAAACATGAACATTGCAATAACATGGAAAGTACGATGAACATAATCTGACATGATACTGACATAATCTTATAGGAGGTAACAGACATTGTTTGAATAACATCAGTGTGATCATATGTTTTACCTGTATCACTAACTTACAACTTTGTGTCAGATCATTCCAAACCGGGATTCGAACCAACGTTGGTGTACTACTATGACAATGACTCACAGTGCTTTAGACGACTTGTACAAAGCATCTATCGAACAAAATACAAATATGGGATTTGAACCAACGATCAAAGGTCTTTATCACGCCAAAATGATCCCTATACAAACTGGTCCACTTGTGACCCCATAAAAGTAGAACACTGACAGAAACATGCACATAAACGGCTAATACGTGTTGTAATAGCTCCGTCGACACCATTTGCTTATTTCGGAATTGTATTATATTCAACATTCACTTGGCGATACCAGTTTTTAGTATATAGTGAAAAAAAGAACAAGAAAATAATTGTTCTCTCAGTATGTCAGTTCTAGCTACACATCTTAGTTTAGTTAAGCAAGCGTCACATAAAAGTATACAGCACCTGGAAGTGAACCATGAATCTTGAATACATAACATACAAACATGTAAATGACTTAGTTACCTGTTTGGCTTTGTTCTATTCTGTTCTGACGACGCCGTGTGGAGTGAGGATTCTACATCTGTCATCCACCTATAAATACCTTCATCTTATCATAGGATCGTTTCATTTGGTTTGTGAGATACGTTAACATTACCCCGTCATCAACATTTCATAACTTTATTAATGATGATAACAATACACATTGTTTCATTTACCCAAAGGACACGTTGACCTAGCGGAACACCACCTGTATGTCGACGTCACCACGAGTGGTCATGCAGCTGCTCATACTGCCACGGTGATTTATTATCTCGAGCGTCTTGTTTTTTAATGATTTACACACTTCTAAAACGATCCTTCTTTTCGAGGATATTTTGTGTTGAGCTATTTATACAACCAGCCTTCAGTAAATTACCGGTCTTTTATCAAACACATAATCAACACATGATCACATATAATTTTGCTAGATATATTTTTAAAGTAATGACAGTGTCAGATTGGAATGATAACATGAAATAGTTAACTTTCTCATCGTATCAAACAATATTCCAACAGCATCAGCCTTTGTATTCACATTTCACAGTGTTTGAGGTCCAATCGAGCATGCTTTTTGTATGGTTTTGGTAACAGCGTCAGGCGACTTTGTTATGATCAACGTAAGAACATATAATGCCTCAGCAAAGCGTTTAGAACATTTTTTGTGGAAAAGGCGTGAAGAAAATTTGACTCATGAGATGTCGTAATCTTATATAAATCAGTGATCTTTGAAATATTTCGAAAGTTCCTGACATAGCCAATTTCACAACACACACACAAACACAGACACACACGCGCGCGCACGCGTTGCTAATTATATATTTTTATCATATATTTCATTAATTACTTAATTGTTGCACAAAAACAGGTAGATTACAATTGATCTCTGGTGATAGTTACATTATTTAGAAACTTCGTGAATCGTAAATTTTAATTATTTAACCCTGCAGCGATACAGTGATACGTGAATCTGACTATGCCTCCACAACACTATGCTGGTCAACAACGTTTAGCTGCGGCCTGAAGCAGTTTCACACATTATGTCCTTCCCTGACTGCTAACAAATATTCTGATACAAATCTGATTGACTTCAGTTTGGTGTCATCACCACCTCTTTCTCTTTGTTGTAAGTATTCATTATTCTAATTGTATTCCAGTGCGAGTCTTATTGCTGATAACAATCTACATACAGATGTCCAGTGCCCACACGTGCCAGAAGTAAGACGGGTGTTATATAGTCTTCGATTGGTCAGTCCTTTCCAGGTTCAGCCAATCAGGTATCCTCCTTCAGGCTACATCCCATGTACGTGTATTGTGCATACCCGACAGCCTAATGCTCCCACCTGATACAATCTGTTATCATCTAATTACCGCTATACCAAGACTACTTTATATTTGTGGTCACACGGCAACGACATACTTTAGTTTGAAGTATACTTCGTTTATAAACAGACTTTGTTGGCATAAAGCGGTTGAGACAACTACTTAGTTGTGTGATAATGTTGGTGGTGTTCATAATGGTTGCTTTCTTGAACATTCCATGCAAATATTTGTAATCTGCTTTGAGTGTTTGTTCTGAATCAATACATGTGTTTGTGGAATGTGTTTTTCATGGTCGGTTTGATGTATAAGATATTTTGGAGACAGTTTGTGGTTTTCAATCACTACTCCATGACAAACACTTTGCTTAATGTATGACGCAAACATATACACTTTATACATTCTCTTACAGTATGTATGACGTAAACATATACACTGTATACATTCTCTTACAGTATGTATGACGTAAACATATACATTGTATACATTCTCTTACAGTACGTATGACGTAAACATATACATTGTATACATTCTCTTACAGTATGTATCACGTGAACATATACACTGTATACATTCTCTTGCAGTATGTATGACGTAATCATATACATTTTTATACATTCTCTTACAGTATGTATGACGTAAACATATACATTGTATACATTCTCTAACAGTATGTATGACGTAAACATATACACTGTATATATTCTCTTACAGTATGTATGACGTAAACATATACACTGTATACATTCTCTTACAGTATGTATGACGTAAACATATACATTGTTTACATTCTCTTACTGTATGTATGACGTAAACATATACACTGTATACATTCTCTTACAGTATGTATGACGTAAACATATACACTGTATACATTCTCTTACAGTATGTATGACGTAAACATATACACTGTATACATTCTCTTACAGTATGTATGACGTAAACATATACATTTGTATACATTTTCTTAAAGTATGTATGACGCAAACATATACATTGTATATATTCTCTTACAGTATGTATAAAGTCATCATATACATTGTTTACATTCTTTTACAGTATGTATGACGTAAACATATACTCTATATACATTCTCTTACAGTATGTATGATGTCAACATATACATTGTATATATTCTCTTACTGTATGTATAAAGTCATCATATACATTGTTTACATTCTTTTACAGTATGTATGACGTAAACATATACTCTATATACATTCTCTTACAGTATGTATGACGTTAACATATACATTGTATACATTCTCTTACAGTATGTATGACGTAAAGATATAGACTGCATACATTCTCTTACAGTATGTATGACGTCATCATATACATTGTTTACATTGTCTTACAGTATGTATGACGTTAACATATACACTGTATACATTCTCTTACAGTATGTATGACGTAAACATATACACTGTATACATTATCTTACGGTATGTATGACGTAAACATATACATTGTATACATTCTCTTACAGTATGTATGACGTAAACATATACATTGTATACATTCTCTTACAGTTTGTATAACGTAAACATATTAACTGTATACATTCTCTTACAGTATGTATGACGTAAACATATACATTTGTATACATTTTCTTACAGTATGTATGACGCAAACATATACATTGTATATATTCTCTTACAGTATGTATAAAGTCATCATATACATTGTTTACATTCTTTTACAGTATGTATGACGAAAACATATACTCTATATACATTCTCTTACAGTATGTATGATGTCAACATATACATTGTATATATTCTCTTACTGTATGTATAAAGTCATCATATACATTGTTTACATTCTTTTACAGTATGTATGACGTAAACATATACTCTATATACATTCTCTTACAGTATGTATGACGTTAACATATACACTATATACATTCTGTTACAGTATGTATGACGTAAAGATATAGACTGCATACATTCTCTTACAGTATGTATGACGTCATCATATACATTGTTTACATTGTCTTACAGTATGTATGACGTTAACACATACACTGTATACATTCTCTTACAGTATGTATGACGTAAACATATACACTGTATACATTATCTTACGGTATGTATGACGTAAACATATACATTGTATACATTCTCTTACAGTATGTATGACGTAAACATATACATTGTATACATTCTCTTACAGTTTGTATAACGTAAACATATTAACTGTATACATTCTCTTACAGTATGTATGACGTAAACATATACATTGTATACATTCTCTTACAGTATGTATCACATACACATATACATTGTATACATTCTCTTACTATATGTATGACGTAAACATATACACTGTATACATTCTCTTACAGTATGTATGACGTAAACATATACATTGTATACATTCTCTTACAGTATGTATGCGTAAACATATACATTGAATACATTCTCTTACAGTATGTATGACGTAAACATGAACATTGTATACATTCTCTTGCAGGGTTACTTGTTAGATTGAGTGAGTGAGTGAGTTATTATTTAACGTCACATAGGCAATATTTCAGCCATATCGTGACGAGAACACTTGACATTGAAATAAAATATATATAGAGATTATAAAACCTGCCAACAAAGGACAGTAAAGCAACTAGAGTATCCCAGATATATATGTAAAACTAGTAATTGAATCTAAAACATTTTTACTATAGGGGACAACACAATATAAAAATGGGCTATAGATCGCTAACAACTGAAGGTAGATCACTAGGGACCATGGGGACTTACAGTACATTTGCTTCCTGCATGGTCCCTAGCTGGATTTACATCATCACCTCAGCTGTTAGCAATTGAGATATAGCTAGCCATACATTAAAATTACACATATTCTACGATTAAAAAACGGAAAGTTGAAATTTACTTTGAATGTTTTGGGACTTACGTACCCTCTCAGGAGGACAATAACTTTACAGTACTTTAACCCCCCTCGAGGATACAGCCACTAACAATCTGTGTTACTAATTCAAACTTCCAATCATAAAATATTGAGCTATTTACAAATCAGTTAACAAATTTAATTCTTTTAAAAAAGCAATAATTAAATGAGGACTTATATGAGTAAAAAGATCCTTCATAGTTCGATTTTTGAATAGATATCCCTTTGTGATGGAGTATTCTCGACACAGTCAAGCAAGACATGCTTGACCGTGATTCGTTCATCACAAGGATACAAAACGGTGGATCCTCACCTTTTAATAGGTATTCATGCGTATATCTTGTGTGGCCAATACGACATCGTCGTATGATGACCACTTCAAATCTGGACTGACAACCCAAGTAAGTGTAACCGATATAGGGTTTTATTTCATGTAATTTATTGATACCTACTTGGGTGTCCCACTTCTTTTGCATCAGATCACGGATATAAGATCTTATAGCAGTTTTGTAATCAGAGTATGGAATCAGAAGTGGTGTCACAGATTTGTTGAGTGCTGCCTTAGCAGCAATATCAGCCATTGTGTTCCCAGAAATGCCAACGTGGCTGGGTAACCAACAAAAGACGATGTCGCATTGGCCAGTAGGAAGCACATTATGCAATTCAATAATTGCTATTAAAAGTGGATGTTTACAAGAAATAGCTTTAATAGCATGAAGGCAAGAAAGTGAGTCAGAAAAGATGATATATTGTTGATATTTAGGGTGTGTTTTAATATATTTTAAGGCTGTTAATATGCGTTTGCCTCTGCTGTAAAAATAGAGCTGTT